AGGGCTCCAGTGGAGTCTGCCTTGCTCTCTGTGTCCCATATCTCAGCATTTTTATCTCTATCAGCAGCTAGGCTTCAAGTTTTGCCAAATGTTCCTAGCACACCTCATCACTGAAACCCCCAGAAGTGTTTTTCACAGGCAGTCACCAGCCTGCAGTAAGAGGCTGGGAGCAGATCAGGGTGCCCCAGTGGCCTCTGGCCTCATCTCCTTTCCTCTTTTTCTGCTACACAGTTGCCCCGTGACATCCTGGAGCCTGTGGGTCCTGAGCCCGACATTCCAGCCCAGCACCAGACATTTCTCCCTCAGGACTCCTCTGTCTCATGCTGTCTTCTCCAGCAGGTTGCTACTTTTAGGAAAGCAAAGGTCCTCATAGACAGAACCTGTCTTGTGGCCCATCTTAGATTTACCAAGAGACAAGATGGCAATTGGCCTACTCCTGCCTGCCATGTGAGTGTGAGCAAGTGACTTTCCCTCTCTGCACCTCAGTTTGCTCACATTTAAAATGTCTGTCTCTGAGCAGTGTTAAGAATATTGAAGGAGGGACACCCTTTATAGCACTTGGAAATGTGCCTGGCACATAGTAAGTGCTCCATGAGGGTGATGACTGTTCCTGCTGAGTGTGGTGCCTGTGCTGGCAGCTGGGGTACAGAGGCTGGCAGATGCTGTCCCTGTCCTCAGGAGTTTGCCCCCCTCCTGTGCAGGAATAACAACCCACCCACTCAGTACAGAGCATTAAGGCAGAATTGTATGCCCAGCTCTGCAAGCCTGCAGGGCTGGACTGGGCCCTAGACTTTTGCTTATCAGACCACCTAGTTAGCTTTTATTTTTTTTTCCTGTTTTTCTCCTTCAGCTCCATAAAGAGTGGTACATTGGTTAGGAGGCATTTGACTGCAAGTGACAAAAAGCCTAACTCGAGAAGGCAGGAAGCATTAAGGGGCTTTATCATCACATAGTAAGTCCAGAGTTAGGGTGGCTTTAGGGCTGGTTAGTTCTGCAGTGAGGTCCTCAGGAACCAACTTCACTCATGACCCATGATGGCTACTGTGGCCCCCAGCAAAACCAGTGCCCTGCAGAAGAAGAGGAGAAAACTTCTCTTTGTTTTCAAGAGTGCCCACTCCTGAATCAACCCCTGGCAAGGTCCCATTGGACCAACATAACTGTCTTAAACTGTCAGGATGTACTCAAACCACATGGCAGAGGGATGGCCTCCAGAGCAGAATCTGGGCTCCACCAGCAAGGACAAAGATGAAGATGGCTAGCTGTTGGAGTGGCAGCCAATAGTGGCTACATTGTCTGCCCTACCCTTCCATTGTCCCATCAGTCAGGGTAGGAGATTGATAGCAGGCTGTAGCCTTCCCCTCACGTTCACGTCTTTCTTGTTACTTTCCTCTGTGGCCAAGTGAGAAGCTCTGTTCCAGCATCCCAGTAGCCCAACACTGCTGATCTTAAGGCAACCCCCACCTTGGCTTTCCCAGGGTCAGTCAGTATGTCTAGTTTGTGCCTGGAGGCTCTTGAAACTGCAGCTGGTTAGTTCCTCACTAAAACTTCAAACCCTTTAGTTTTAAAGTGATTTCCAATTCTGAAAAAAGATAAGAATACATTATATTTTCTCAGAAGATATTAAATATATATTTGATCTCTTGTTCTAGGGATTTTTGCCCAGAGCTGTGCGTGGTGAGATACTGAAATGTCCTGATTTCCAATCAACTTGACCAGATATGGCAGTAATAGAATGGCCCTGAATGGGACTTATTTAGCAGCCCAAAGAATGGTCAGCATAGGTCAGTTAGTTTGCACTGGGATTATTATATGAATGGACAAAGTACAGGTTGTCTTGATTGAGGACAGTAGCTGAGAGATGAAGCATAGTAAATACAGTGGATCCTCGGTTTTCGAACTTAGTTCGTTCCAGAAGGCTATTTGAGAAGCGATTTGTTTGAAAACCAAATCATTTTTCCCATTAGAAATAACGTCAATTGAATTAATACGTTCCAGACCCCTTTTTCACATATCACTGCCTCCGAAATGCTGTCACCACTGGCAAACTGCTTTTCCTTTATTTAAATCAACAACAATTTTTCTACCTCCTTAATGCCTGTGATTGTTGTTTTGTGACCACTTTCATATCCTTAGCAACATCAGCACCCTCGTGGCCTCTTTATGTTTTAAAATTGTGCTAATGGTCTATTTCACCAGCAGCAAAAGCAAAAAAAAAAAGAGAGAGAGAGAATATGAAAATATTCACAGCCCAATTTCCTGAGGTGTAGCCTGAGAGGTGCTTTTTGTCATGCTGATGTATCAGCATGAAGGGTTATCAGGTTGAGAACTGAAGTTGTGTTAGAAAATGGAGACATGTTTTCAGTAAACAACTTGGTCGAGAACCAAAGTGTTTGAGATGGGACATGTTTGAGAACAGAGGTTTGACTGTATGTCCCACTAAAGTTAGGATTAGGTTTAGCTGCATCATATAGAAAGCAGATATTCAGATGAAATAGTTTCTTTCTTTCTCTCACATTGTCAGAGACCCAGGCTCCTCCTCACCAATGCTCTGCCATCCTTGGCCTGTTGCCTGTTGGTCTTAAAGTGGCTGCTGGAGCTTCAGCTTTAGGAAATGATGAGGCAGTGGCACCCACAACACACCTCCAGAGATTTCCTGAATGTCACATGCAGCACTTTTAACTCATTGGCCAGAACTGCAAGAGAGTCTGGGAAATGTAGTCTGTTTGTTAGCTGATGCTGCCCCAAATATAGTTGGGATTCTGTTAGCAGGGCAGAAGCAGAGAATAGATATTGGGGGAGCCGCCTGCATGTCTACCACTCATACCTTCCACTTTCCTCTGCCAACCCCAGCCACTGCTGATGTTTTCCTTTAGTGCTCAGGATATGATACAGACATTTTGAAAAAATAGAATAAACATGTCTATACTTCAACTTCCAGCTGTGGTGGAGCCACATTTTACCAGGTCACCCATAAGGTGAAGATTGCTTATGCATTTTATTGTTTGGGCTCTCCTTATCCTGGAGGCATTAGAAGTCAAGGTCTGGGAGGGCAAGGATAATATGTACACTCTGGGGAGGCAAGTAGGGTTGAGTTTTCAGAAAATCCAGTGCACCACTGAAGCACCCGTCTGCTGCCCTGGTGGCGTTGAAGCCTAGGGGTTTGGAGTTGTCTTTGCAGAGGCAACCCTGGCTTTGTGGCTGGCAAGACGACCTTGGAGAAGCTAACTTCTGTTTGGGATGTTGGGGGTCCCAGTTTATCACCCTACTTGCATATAGACACAAGTGGCCGAATGGGGAATGTCAGCATCCACCTGATAAATAGAGGCTCAGTAACCCCCAGAGTACAGGGCCTGTGTCCATGGGGTGCAAGTGACTGAAATTTGGCTGGTGCAAACATTGTAGGAATTTATTATCTCACAGAAAAGGAGGCTCAGAGGCAGAACAGGCTTCAGGGAGGCTTAATCAGGTATTGTGACAGCATTATCGAGGGCCTCGTTCCTCCGCCTCCTCCTTTCCACCCTCAGCATTGGCCTCATCCATCTTCAGGCTGTCATGAGAGGGCAGCACAGACTCATGGTGTTATATCTGGACCCAGCAATGCCTGGATTAAGAAGAGAGGCCATCTTTCCTCATCATCTCTCTTAATAGCAAGACACTTTTCCCAGAAGCTCTCCCCCATGCCCCAGCGGACTTTCGCCATTTCAGTCAGGTTATGCTGAGTAACAGGCATCTGAAACTCTCAGTGACTTATATCAGTAAAGGTTTGTTTCACACCCACACTGCAGCTCCACTGTCAGTTGACAGGACACCTCTCAGGACACAGGCACCACCACCTCCCAGTCATTCCCCTCACAACTCATTGGCGAGATCTAGTCACACAGCCCACCCGGTCAATCTAAAGGGGCCAGAAAGTGTCATCCTGCCACCTGCTTCCCAGGTGGAAAGCCAGAGTATTTTGTGGGAGTCTTAATAACTCACACGCTCTCCCATCTCAGTGGCCAAAATTGTGTCATTTGCCTGTCCCTGAACCAACCCCAGGCAAGGCAGGTTTCCTTCATGATGGGCTCTGATGTGTGGTGGAATGGACATTAGGAGGTGCTCATCGGATTCACTCCAGGGCATAGAGAATGCCGCTGGGATTGAGGCCCAGGGTGAGACTTCTGTCACGTCTCTTAAATCTCAGCCATGGCCTGTGGGTGTGCAGAGCCAGCCTCCAGGAGAATCTCTGACTAGGAGATAACTATTTCACTTGTTCCACACCCTGTGTGGTAGAAAATGTTATCCCTTTTTTCCAATGGGAAAGCTGAAGCTTGAAAAACGGAAACCTATGATTTATGCTGCTCGTAAGGGATGGAACTAGGGTTTGAGCCAAGATCGCCTAGTTCTGAGACCTGAGTCCACAGCTTCTCCCACAGTGCCTTCCTCCAGAGTCTGAAGGCCAGTTGTTCCGGCTCAACCTGGGTCATATGTCAGCCTCAGGCTAAGTCATTCAGTCCCACAAGAAAGAGGCTGTTGTGAGCACCTCTTGACAACTAGGCAAACTGAGGCTCCAAGCTGAAAAATTGACTGCCTGGCTGGGCAAGAGGCAGTGGTGAGGTTTAAACCCCAACCTACTGGCTCCAGGGCTCCTATGTGTACACATATACTGCTCTTCCCCACCAGAGAGAGGAAGCCCAAGACAGGCCTGGGGTGAGGAGCTGCTGACAACAGCTCACCCCATTTTACAGCCAAAACACAGGACCCCTGAAGAGCCTGTGGGTAGGGCCATCGACCTAAGTGGCTTCTGCTCCTCCTCCTCCCTGGAGGACCCCTCCTTGCCTAGCATTCCCTGCCACCAGCAGCTCCTTGGCCTCCTCCCTCAGGCTACAACACATTTAGCCTCATCTAGCCTTCCTCCACTTGGGCTCTCCTGTGCTTAAAACCCACTGGAGACTCACTCTCAGGTGGTTTTGACACACCAGCCCTTCACCCTGCACTTGCCTCCTCTCACTCCCCTGCAGGTACGTGGCTGCCCCACACCCACTGCTCTCTTTCGATCCCCACTTTGGCCACGACGGGACATCCAGCGGGGACTCCTCCTCAGGTGGACTGACCAGCCAGGAGAGCACGATGGAGCGCCAGAAGCCAGGTAGGGAAGGCTTCCCTGGGCCAGCTGTTCCCTCCCACATCACCCTACAGGACCTCTACTCACAGCTTGACGGGCAACGCCCTCCTTCTGGCAGATGGCTAAAGCATACAGGGAAGCTTTAAGGGCCACACATAGATTAGAGGGGTCTCCTGCAGAGCACTGGGAACCACGGAGCAATCCTTCTCCACCCAGACAGGGCATCAGCAGGGTGTCTGCCAACATTGTCTGTCAAGATTCAAGTACAGATGTGTGACATGAAGGTGGCAACTGCCAGAGGAAAGAGTTGAAAGGACTGAAAGTGTTGCTCTTGGGAAGCAGAACCCACTGGGTTCTGAGGCTTTTCATTGCACAGACCCTCCTGTTTTATATTATTGACTATTACACAGGTACAGCACATACTGAGAAAAGAGCCCAAATCATGAATGTCCAGTGTGATGACATATCACAAAGCTAGCATGCCGTGTTCCACACCCAAGGCAAGAACATGGCCCGGGCCCCTCCCAGTCAACACCCCACGCAGGCCACCCCGTCCTGCTTCTCACAGCCTAACTTCGTCTTACCTGGTTTTGAATTTCATGTTACAGAATGTAGACTCACACTGAATGCATGAGTCTGGCTTCTGTTACTCAATGTTACGTTGGTGAAAGGTGGCCATGTGATTGTATGTAGCGACACAGTTTCTGAGTAGTTCTCATTCCATTATCTGAATGACCCACCACTGACTACTCCATTCTAATGCTGATGGACATTTGAGTGGTTTCCAGTTTGGCACTGCTTAGACTGGTGCTGCTGAAGATGAGCACTGTGTCTGTCTTTTGATGAGCACAGGCTCACACATTTGCAGGGTATATACCTGGGAGTGGAATCGCTGGGTCATATGTTTAACTTAATAAGAGACTGCCAAACCTTTTCCCAAAGTAACAAACCATTTCACACCCCCACCTATGACATCTGAGAGTTGTAGTTGCTCCGTGTCCTCACCAACGTTTTTATTTCAGCCATGTAGTAGTTGCAGGACATTGTGGTTTTAATTTGCACTTTTTTGGTGCCTGAGGAGACTAAGCATCTTCTCATCTGTTTATTCTCCTACTAGAGGCCCAATGCACGAAATTCATGCAAGAGTAGGCCTTTCTTCCCCTGGCTGCCGGCACCAGCTTCCCTCTGGCATCTGGGACCCGGGCTTCCCTCACAGCACTGGCTTTGTCCGGAAGGTCAACTGGAAGGACGTCTGGAAGGATGTCTGGTTTAATTAGCATATTATGCTTTTATTATTATAGATCTGTAATGATTATCATGGGTGCATACACTAAGATGAATATTTTCAACATAATTTTGCATAACAAACTATTGCCCCTTTGAAGTCTGAGAACCACTAGATGAATGGGTAGATTCTAAAGAAAGAAAACCAGTGAAATTATCAGACATTAGAGGGGAAGAGGTGGAGATGTCTGCTTAGGGGATCTTCCAGAATTTCCAGGCAGCTCAGGATGACCATGTCAGCACGCTACCAGCTTCCCCAGGCTTTGTAGGGTAGGGAAGAGGTTGCATAGCCCAGGATTGGTGGCCTAGGGAAGTCCTTGGCATCCCAGCCCCATGGTGTCCTTAAACCAGGAAAACAGATGGACTTCAGGCAAGTAGGTTGCCCTCCAGGGCCTGTAAACACCCTTGGTCTTGCCTGTCCCTGCCTGCAAGTCTGTGATCTTGGCTCCAAGACAAACAGATTTACATCTTTTTTTTTTTTTCACCCCGCCCAGTTCAGAAGAAGAGAAAAGTGTTGCTTGGTGATCTCATTATACTAAAGTGTAAATGAGGAGGAAATTTTTCCAGCATTCACCATGGGCCCCAAAAGTGTCACAGAAACTCACCATTATCCTTCTTGTTTCTTCTGTCTCCTAGAGTTCGGGTCCCCTGTCACTTACTTGGGACCTTGTTATAAATCGACTGACACCTTATCCCGCTCCTCTAGCCCTTCCCCCCAAAATCAGGGCAAGTATCATGAAGTCTGGAATGTATTCAAAATCCAGAAAAAAAGGTGGTTCAGGCTGGGAGGAGTCAGGCGCCATGACAGACATGAGGACGTGCCCAGCCCTGATCAGATGATAATAATCTTAGTAACAGCAACAGGGTTTTGTGTGCTTGTTGTATGCCGGACACAGTACTGGATACTCCACATTTCCTCCTATTTAATCACCTCAGGAACACAATAGAATGGGCACTTTTCTGAAAATATTTTTATTGATTTCAAAGAGGAACGGAGAGGGAGAGGGATAGAAACATCAATGATGAGAGAGAATCAGTAACCAGCTGCCTCCTGCACCCCCCCCCCCTTTACTGGGGTTTGAGCCCACAGCCCAGGCATGTGCCCTTAACCAGAATCGAACCCAGGACCCTTCAGTCCACAGGCTGATGCTCTATCCACTGAGCCAAACCAGCTAGCGCTAGAATGGGCACTTTTTACTACCCCATTAGAAATGATGAAGATGAGGCACAGAAAGGTGGTCACTTGGCCAAGGTTCCTGCTCATAAGTGGCAGCATTAAGATTTGAACCAAGGCCTGTCGGGTTCTAGAACCCCTCCTTAACCCACAATTCCTCACCCACAGAGTGTGGTCGTTTCTCAAGCCTCAGAGCACCCAGGTTGAGAAGGTGTCCCAAGGATCACCAGCTACCCCGAGTCCATGCATGGCCATGGTTTCAGTATGTGAAAGGTGAAGCATGAGAGTCAGGTCACTGGGGGCCAGTTCAGAGGATCAGTGAAGGGCCCAGGCTCAGGGCCAGCCAAGGGCAGAACCAGGGACACTGAGGCAGCCAGGGAGGGGAAGGAACCTAGCCCTTCACTAACAGTACACCAGGCTGAGTACCAGGGATGTGGTGTGAGCCAAACAGGCACATACCCTGACAGTCTGCTGGGAAAGATGGGCAGTGATAAGTACTCACCCATGATGCTGAGTATCAAGTGGGAACTAACAGTGCTGAGAGAGATTGGTGGCATTTGGGAGAATCTCTGAGCAAATCAGGCAAAGGAGCCAGCTAGGATAACATTCTAGAGGAGGGAAGAGCTAGTCAACGACCCTGAGCTAGCATGACTCTGGTGTTGGAGGAACAGTAGAAGACCCATATAGAGACCTGATGGAAGGTGACAGGGACAGAAGGTATGATGCACAGATGGGATGGGATCTGCTTCAGGTGATCACAGGATCTCTCTTGCTACAGAGTGGGAACAGTGGAGGGGGAAAGATGGGTGGGTTCTGGATATGGTCACTTGAAGGTAGAGTTTTTTGGTGTTTTTGTGGGGTTTTAATTTCTTTTTCTCATTTTGAAGGTAGAGTTGATAGAATTTCCTGATGCCTCAATGTGGGTGAGAGAGAAAGGAATCAAGGGTGATACCAGGTTTTTGGCCTGAGGAGCTGAAAGGATAGAGCAGCCATTGATTGAGCAGGAGAGACTGAGAGATTCAGGTTTGGAAGAAGATAAGGAGCTGGCGTTGGCCATGTTCACTGGGAGGTGCCCAGCCATATATACCAGTCTGAAGTCAGGGGAGAGTCTAGGCCAGAGGCAGAAATACGTGTGTCATAAATGGTAGTTAAGGCTGGATGTGACAGCCACAGGCTTGGCTCTCTGTAGAAATGTGGTTTCCTGGCATGGGTTGGCCGCCTCCCAGGAGACCAGCACCTTCTGGGGGTGTGGGATGCTCCAAAGAGGATAATCATCTCCAGAGGCAGAGCAGGTGGCCACCCTCCCTGCTCTCTTATGTCCATGGTTCCCAAGTGAAAGCCACACAGACAGTGACACCTCGCCTGTGCCGGACAGGCTGCTCTCTGCAGTGACCCTCCGGCAGCCCACCTTCCCCAGAGCATTTAAAAGATTAATAGATACTAACTAGTCCTCCCTTGGTGGTTTTATTTTTGTGGCGTTTTTGTTGTTGTTGTTGTTGTTGTTGTTGTTGTTTTTAAGGTCAGATGCTCAATTCAGGCTCACTGGTTTTAGGAATTTAGACTAATTTATGCCCATACCAGCCATCACGATTTTAAATCTGTTTCACATTTGAACCAGCAATTCCACTTGTATAATTCTGTCCCAGACAATCCTACACTTGTTCAAAATGTAAGTATATTGTAAAGTGAAAATCAACTTGTAGGACAATGTTTATTATTATCCCATTTTCATTAAACAAAAAGAAATTATGTTCATTTAACCAACAAAAGATTGCTACCTTGCATATGTAAAGAATCCTATACACCAATAAGATAAAAAATAGTCAATTCCATGGAAAACTGGGTAAAGTGTGCAAGCAGGTAATTTATGAAATAAATACAAATGGTTAGTAAGGATGAAAATGTGCTCAATCTCCTTTGGGAATAAAGATGGGGGATTGTTGTAAGGCTTCGATGAGTTCACCCATGCAAAACACCAGAGTGGGGCCTAGCACAGAGTAAAAGCTCTGTAACTGTTCCATTACTGAGTGTTGTTATACCCACAAGACATACATTGATGGGGTCATGGCCCTGTGTGCACTGAGCAGACAAGCCGGCAGAGAGGTGGCTCCATCACAAACCATATTTAGGGCCAGATTCTTTGGATGGACTCGGGACAGACCTGAGTCACCGCTAACCACTGATATGTCTCCTGTCTTCCTGCAGAGCCTTTGTGGCATGTGCCCGCCCAGGCCCGGCTCTCAGCCCTGGCTGGAACCAGTGGGAGCAAGCACGCCTCCAGGCAGGATGCAGCAGGCAAAGACTCCCCCAACAGGCATTCCAAAGTGAGTGTGGGCCCCACTGCCTCACCCTGGGGAGTCAGAGCTGTAGGAATTAGCTAATTTGGCTGCTCGGCTTGCCATGACTGCTTTGGGCCAGGCAGCTTTACCTGCCTGGGCCTCTCAACTCCACATGTGAGCACATTCTCTACCTTTGCTAACTTTCACTCGATCAGAGGGGCTAAATGCTAGAGTTAGAATCAGCCAGGTGCACATCCTGGCTCACCAACTATGTCATCCAGAGCAAATCACTTCAGCCCTAGCTGGTTTGGCTCAGTGGCTAGAGCATCGGCTTGCAGACTAAAGGGTCCCAGGTTTGATTCCAGTCAAGGGCACGTGCCTGGGTTGCGGGCTTGATCCCCATTGCCCCCATTGCCCTCATTGATCGATCAATGATTCTCATCATTGATGTTTCTATCTCTCTCTCTCTCTCTCCCTCTCAGAAATCAATAAATATATATATATATTTTTAAATCACTTTAGCTTCTCAAGCCCCACTTTCCTTATTATTTCATCAGTCATGGTAAGTATCTTCATCAGCTCAGGCTCTGTAACAAAATGCCATATACTAGGTCAGCTTATATTAATAGATATTTCTTTTTTCTTTTTTAGTATATTTTTATTGAATTCAGAGAGGAAGGAAGAGGGAGAAAGAGAGAGAAACATCAATGATGAGAGAGAATCATTGATCAGCTGCCTCCTGCACGACCCCCAATGGGGATCGAGCCTGCAACCCGGGCACATGCCCTTGACCAGAATCAAACCTGGAACCCTTCAGTCAGCAGGCTGATGGTCTAGCCACTGAGCCAAACCAGCTAGGGCAGATATTTATTTCTCATAGTTCTGGAAGGGTGGGAAGTCCAAGATCAAGGTGCAGGCAGATCAGTGTCTGGTGAAGACCCGTTTCCTAGTTCATAGGCAGCCTTCTCACCCCATGTGGTGGAATGTGTGATGGAGCTCTCTGGGGTTCCTTTTATAAGGACATAAATATCCATGTGGATTTAATAATCCTGTTCATGAGGAATATAAATATACTAGAAGCCCGTTGCACGAAGATTCGCGCAATAGGCCTTCCCCTGGCTGCTGGCACCGGTTTTCCTCCGGCACCCAGGACCCAGGCCTTTGGTCCGGCCGCAGCAGGGAAGCCAAGCCTCGAGGCTAGCCTCAGCTGCAGCGGAGAAGCCAAGCCTCTTCAGTCTTCAGTCTTCACTCCAGCTGGAGCCTTCAGTCTTTGCTCCATGCCTGTGTATGCGAATTAACTGCCATCTTTGTTGGGTTAATTTGCATAGTTGCTCTGATTGGCTGGTGGGCATAGTGGAGTGACACCAATTTGCATGTTTCTCTTTTATTAGTGTAGATATAGGAATACATAGGTAAATATATATAAGGATTTAAAAATTCCATTCATGAGAGTTCCACCCTCATGACCTAATCACCTCCCAAAGGTACTACCTCCTAATACCATCACACTGGGGATTAGGATTCAACATAGAAATTCGGGGGGAGTAGGTTAACATCCAGTCTATGGCAGTAGGTTAACAGCTATGACAGCTATGGCAGGCTGTCTTAGTGACCTCACACAAAACAGTTTATTTCCCTCTCATGTAACAGTTCAGTGCAGGTATTCAGAGAGCAGCTCTCCACATGGTGATTCAGGAACCCATGTTCTGGTCTCTAACATCATCTTGTGGCCCCACTGTCCCTCAGGGCCTTGGATCCCTCTGCTGGGTTCCTGCCCTGCCTCTTTCCGAGGCAGGGGATGGGAGGGAGAGAGGTTCATGTGGGAAGTTTTTGTAGTCCAAGCATGGAAATAGCAAAAATCACTGTCACTTATATTGCCGTGGCCAGGACTTCATCCTTGACCACACCTCACTGCAAAGGAAGCTGGGAAATGTAGTCCTGTGTGCCCAGAAGGAGATAGTTTTGGTGAGCACTTGGCAGTCTTTTCACATCCATTCATTCAGTGAGTGTTTGATGAGCACTTGCAACATGCCAGGCATTGGGGCCACAATGATGAAGAAAACAGATGAGCCGCTGTTCTCACAAAGCTGACATGCCATTAGGGGCAACAAGCAACAAGTAGATAAGCAGATAAATCATGTAACACCAAGAACTGGTTCTTGCTGGGAAAGGAAAACAAAGCACAGTTAAGGGGAAGAGTGCTTTAGGATGAGGTGGCTAGAAAAGGTCTTTGAAGAGGTGACCTTTAAGCCAAAATCCTGAATGAAGTAGGGGGTGATCCATAAAGACATCTGGGGGAAGAGAATTGCAAGCAGCGGGACAGCAGGTACAAAGGCCCTGAAGTGGATGTGTGCCTGGCATGCTCAAAGAGCAGCAGGGAGGCCCATGTGGCTGGTGCAAAGTGAGCAAGAGGTAGAGGGAGATCAAGTTAGAGACCAGAACATGGGGCCAGATCACTTGGGGGCCTTGGTGAGGACTCTTGCTTCTCCCCTGAGTGAGATGGAACCACAGGAAGGTTCTAAACAGGGAAGGAACATGAACTGATGTGGGTGCATATAGGGAACAAACGGGCAGGGTTGGCCGGGAGACGGACAGGAGCAAGGAGACTAGGAAGAAGCCACTGTGGGAGGTAGTGGATGGAGCCGAGGAAGAAGTGGTGAGTTCTAATCAGTTTTGAAGATGCTAACAAGATTTACTATTGAAGTGGGCATGGTATGAGGTCAAAAGCAGGTCCAGGGTGACTCCAAGGCTCTTGAGTAGGACAGCTGAAGGGATGGTGGTGCCATTATTGAGAGGGAGAGAGGCAGATTCAGGAGGGAAGGCCAAGAGCTGAGTTTTAGACATGTTGAGCTTCAACTGTGAGCTCTTGTTGCATACATAATGTCATCCCTCCAAGCGACCCCATGAAGTAGTTAGTATCAACCCCATTTACACATGTGGAAACTGAGGTACTTGCCCAAGGTCACATGGCCAGTAAGTGAGGGAGCCAGAGTTAGAAGTTGTCTGGCTCCAGAGGTCACACTCAGGGGAGTAGGACCCAGGGAGGGAAGGTTTGCCCCATCCTGGAATCTAGAGATGACACTTCTCTTGCCTCCAGGGAGAGCCTCAGTACTCCAGTCATTCCAGCAGCAATACCCTGTCCAGCAACGCCTCCAGCAGCCACAGTGATGACCGCTGGTTTGACCCCCTGGACCCTCTGGAGCCAGAGCAAGACCCCCTCTCCAAGGGCGGCTCCAGTGACAGCGGCATTGACACCACCCTCTACACCTCCAGTCCCAGCTGCATGTCACTGGCCAAGGCACCTCGGCCGGCCAAGCCACACAAGTCACCAGGAAGTATTGGCCTTTGTGGGGGTGGGCGTGAGTCCACTGGCCATTCCCACCATGCAGACAGGCGAAGGGAGGTCTCGCCTGCTCCTGTGGTTGCTGCCCAGAGCCAGGCCTACCGACCGAAGCTGTACAACTCAGGCTCCAGCACCCCTACAGGCCTGACCGGGGGCAGTCGCAACCCACCAAGGCAGACCAGGTAAGGCGCTGTTCCTCGCCCGGGCCCTTCAGGGGATCCTGACCCTTTTCTACTTCCCCCACAGGCTTGATGGCAGGCTCCCAGCCTCAGAAACATGCTCACAAATGTATGAGCTTGTACAAGAGTTTGCTTACAGAGTTAGGAGGCTCATGGAGCACCCCCTGCTGCCCATCCATCAGCCTTCAAAAACACAATAGAGGGAGAGAAACCCCTGGCTGGTTGTCTCATCTGTCCCTGATGTCCGCTGTCTCTTTCTCCCTCTGCTGAGACCCATGGTTTTTATGCTTTCTGGGGTCACAGAATGCATCTGTTAGGAGTGTGTTTGGCTGGAGGTTATGGGAAACCTGACCCACACCAGCTTAAACAAATAGAGGTTTAACAGCGCCCTGAAGGAAAGTCCAAGAGGACAGAGCCTGGCTGATGCAGCAGCTCAGGGAGAGCCTCAGGCTGTACCCTGTGTCTTCCTGCTCCCCCATCCTTCCACACAGGCTGCCACTTCCTGGTCTCTGGGTAGCTGTGGAGCCCCTGGGGAACGTGGAGGCAGAGAGCAGAGGAAAGATTGCAGCATCTGTAGAGCTCATTTTATATGGAGAAAACAAAAGCTTTCCCAAAACCTTCTTCAGCAAGCAGTGTCACATGACCATCCCAGAGACAATGAAGTTTGGGAGATCATGGTATAGCCTTTCAGCCGACACAGTAACGTGCAGTGGTCCCCAGATAATCCCCTGGAGGGCTGTCAGCACAGAAGCTGGGTCCCACTCAGTAGGTCAAAAGGGCCAAAGAATATGCTTTTTTTTTTTTAAGTTCCCAGTAGATCCTGGGACTACACTTTGAGAACCACTGGTAGAGAGACTGGCAGGGGAATGAGAAAGAACAGGCACTGGAGAACCAACAACCTGGAGTCCAAACCACACACTTTGAGAATCTGACGAAAGCAGTGAACCATCTCCCAGAAAAATGCAGAGGATGAAAAGTTCTTTTGCAGCCATGGGTCTCAGCCTGGTCCATGGGCCCCTTCAGAGGTCTATGACTCCAGGCAAAGATTATTGAGCTGCCTGACCCTAAGGTGAACCCCTTAAGAACCCCTTAAGCCACAGCCTCACAGCATCCCTTCCCTTCCCTTCTCTGAGCACTCCTTAAAAAAAGGTGAAGCAAAAATTTCCCAAACAATACTTAGCCTGTGTGCGAAGCACTTAGTTCTAGTCTCGTCTTTTTAAAATGTTAGAATGCTGCTTGATACCTCCTGAAGTGATGTCATGATTTCACAGTGGTTGTGTGGCAGATTTGGATTTCAGAGCACCTGTAAGTCGGTGCTTCCCCTTGCCTCAGTGCACAGATCCTGAGTCAAGGGGCCCAGGAGAAGGGGGAAGGTGGGGAGAGAGAAGTGTCCCAGCTCGGTCCCTGGTCTCCATCTCAGGCTGCCTCCCTAAACAGATAGTCTTTAATTGGAACTCACAGCTCCTTCATTCATTCATTTATTTATTTATCCATTCACTTCGCTCACAAATACTTCTTAGGGATTTGTTATATCCCAGATACCTCAGCCCACCACCAGTGAGAGAGACAGATGAGAATCAGATCATCGCTGAGACAAATGTCAAATGTCAGACAAATGTCCCAGGTATCCGCTGCAGTGGCCCCTGTGCTGGACACAGGCCTATGATAGTGACCTGAGTAACTATAGGGTTGCAAAATCTTTGACATAAAGGTAGCAGCGCTGGGGAGTAGACCAAAGCTGAGGCAGGAAGTGGGTATAAAATTACCCTTGTCTGAGAGGATTTACTGAACCTAAAAATGAGGACAATAACATGGGAGGGGAGCCTGCTAGGAAAGAGGGCCCTAAGGTTACAAGCTTTAATTTGCATACAGACAATTGATGCTAATTGCACATCATTCTTATCTAGTCATTAAAGCTGCTTCCGGAAGTTTTCTCCTAGGCAACCAGGCTCTAATGTGGAACAGCATTTCCCAAAATGCTCTAGGTGATTTGGGTGGTACAGGAGGAAAACGTATTTGAAATGGATGTGTGTTTGCTTTAATGGGTAGTATTAAAGAAAGTGTTGCCACTCATTCTCTGATTTTATAGATATTGCCTTGGACAAGTTCAGGAAAATTAAATGAGTTGATTTAAAGAAACATCTTTACTGTAGGTAAGAGTGTGGGCTCCAGAATCAGCCCACCAGTGTTCAAGCCCTCCCTCTGCCTTGTCTTGGCAGTTATTTTTGAAAAGAGAAAGGAAAGATTGGGTGTGGAAAGGGTGTCTCTGTGCAAGTAGCATGTGCAAAGATCCTGAGGTAAAAAAGAGGATGGGTACCTTCAGGTCGCTGAACAGGCCCCCCAGGCTCAAGAGTAGAAATTGAGGGGGCAACTGAGTTTGGGGAGGTCAGCAGGGGGCAGACCATGCAAGGCCCTTTCAGCCACATTAAGGAGTTTGGATTTGATCCTAAGAGCTGTGGGCAGCAAGGGAAGTTTTCAGCAGAAAGGGTAGTGCAGACAGATTTATGTTTTGAAATCTATGTTTTGAAGTGCTATGCTGGGGCTGAGGCTGAATGTGAATGAGAAGGAAGAAGGCCTGGATCAGAAGACAAGACAAGTGGCACTGCCAGGACATAAGGAGGGAGACAGAAAGGGTCCAGGACAGTGCCAGCGAGCTATGTAAGAGTCAGGGCCAAATGCTGCTGCAGACTGGGAGCTTGAGATTCTTGAGAGAAGAGCAGGACTGGGCAGGCTTGACCATTAAAGCACCCACTTTGTGCCAGGCACTATTCCCAAAATGGCGATACAGCAGGGAACACAGTCAAACTAAGTCAACTTCCTTATGGAGCTGATATTCTCCTGGTGAGAGTGAGGCAGACAACTGAGCTACCATGTAATAGTAACATGCCAGATGGCGATAAGGTCTGGGGAGAACACTCGGGGCTACTCTAGGGCAAATTATTCTGGGGGTAGTAGGAATGAGTTTGCAGGCAGAATTTGAGGGATGGGCCTTGTCATGCTCAAACAGGGAACCCCCACAAAGACGGATGCCCTCTTACACTCCAGCCATGCTGGGGAGGGCACTGCAGCCTGTAGCAGCTTGTGCCCACTGATGATTTCAGTGCACAGACTCTCCCCCAGACATTCGTCATGGGAGCCTGGCTTCCAGGCACACTGCCAGGCGCCAGCACCTACTGTGGGCACCACAGTGGGCTGTGTGATCCCAGGCGAGCAGCCACCTGGACCCCTGCCCTCTCCTGAGGCAGCACACACTCCAAACCTTCCTGGGTTTCCAGGGCAATTTGTCAGAGCTGTTCAGGAGCGATGAGAGGCTCCGGCTTCGTGTAGAGCTGACACAGCTGGGCGTTCCCAGGCAGGCAGGCAGGAAGCACGTGGCTTCCCGTCCCAGGGCTGTGCTGCAGAAATCGTCAGATACCCTTCTAGGGGCAGAGCCCCGAAAGGTAATGTGAGGGCCTTAGGATCCATTGGGGCCCACCCTACCTGTGTTAGCCAGGAGACTGGGGTCACACATGCCAAAGACCTCCTCCAAGAGTCACAGTCAGCTTGGGAAGAGGAACCCAGGCCAACTCAGGGAAGGTGGGACCATGAAGAGATCTTGGGGGAGAGAGCAGTGCAAAGGCCCTGCAGTAAAATGTTTCTGGCATGTATGGGAACAGGTTCCATGCAACTGGAGCAGAGTGAGTAGGAGGGAGAATGGAAGGAGCTGGAAGGCAGAGGGCCATTACAGGTGGCGTGTGGAGGGCTGTGATCTCACTCGGATATTCCCAGACTCCTCCAGCTGTATTTGGGGGGTGGGCAGGAGGAGGCCGCTGTGACGGTGAGCGGGCAGTGGTTGGTGGAGGTGGCCAGCGCTGGTTGGATCCTTATAGACTTTGACCCCATAGCCTCTCTGCTTCCACTCTCTGAAGACCTGCCACTTCTGCTCCCAGGCCACAGGGTGGAATACGGCCACTCATGGCTACTACACTGGAGCGTTATTCCAGCCACATGCAGGGGCTGACTAACTCTCGGGCCATGGCACACACCAGGGAGAGAGGGTGAGATTGGTCCTGCAGTTAAGGTCAAGCATCAGGGGCCCACCTAAGGGTATCTGGGTGAGCAGTGTTATTTCCCAGGCTCTAACTATGTCCAGATCACAGCTCTACCACTAACCAGCCATGTGATCTCCATCAGTTTCTCTGAGGCTCCATTTCCTCATCTGTAAATGGAGGTAATGATAGGCTCTGTGGCCTAAGGCTATGTGGATGAACTGACATTATGCATTAAAGTACCTAGCACAGCCTTAACTGGTTTGGCTCAGTGGATAGAGTTTCGGCCTGCAGACTGAAGGGTCCCAGGTTCAATTCCGGTCAAGGGCATATACCTTGGTTGCAGGCACATCCCCAGTAGGAGGTGTGCAGGAGGCAGCTGATCGATGTTTCTCTCTCATCAATATTTCTAACTCTCTCTCTCTCTCTCTCTCTCTCCCTTCCTCTCTGTAAAAAAATCAATAAAATATATTTTTAAAAAATAATAAAGTACCTAGCACAGGGCCTGAGATATATCTGGGTCCAAAAATATCAGCTGCTGCTAGATTTTTCTGATCACTCACTACATATTGATTGTGACTTCTGTTGTCATTGAAAGTATAGGCTGGTGGTTAAAATCAGGTTCTTTCTCTTGGGCCAGACTGTCTGGGTTTGCACCCTGGCTCCATTCCCTCCCAGCTACGTCATTTGGGGAAATTATTTAATCTCTCTGAGCTTCAGTTTTCCCACTTGAAACAGGGGGATGGTGGTAGTTCCTGCCTCTTGGGGTTGCTGAGCTAACTAAATGAAATGACAGCTGTAAGATGCTCAGAGCAGGGCCTGGCGTGCTCACACCTGGCGGGATCAGCACTGTCACTGTCTCCTGCTCCACCACTGCTCTTCCTCCTGAAGGCAGGAGCACAGTGCCCTTTGTGCTTGTCACCCACCCTAGGCCACCCATCAAGACCAGAGCATTGCACATATCCAAACAGCTGT